ACACACACACACACACACACACACACACACACACACACACACACACAATCACAGTCCCCTGGGGAAGAATGTTGAAACGAAACCAACGCATCTCAAAACCTACCCGCAACCCCTTTCCCCTAAACACACACACATATGCTGTGAGTCATTTTCAGTCAGCTGAACACAATTCAAATTATAAATGTTTCGTGTTTTGAAAATATAAAGAGGTTTTCAATTGGTACAGTGCTCTGCACACAAATGCATACAGAATCAAATATTTAAATACATTACTGTGGGTGTTCATGTCCGTATATTCATGCATTATATTATATTTGTGTGTGTGTGTGTGTAGTTAATCCATACTAGTCACTCAGTTAACCCCCCTGCTGCAGCCTTGAACTTCTTCCAGACAGCATATTCAAATCAACGCCCAGCCCTAATTATTGTGTAGGAAACAGACAGGCAGCAAAAATACAAATTACTTGACATAAGTATGGTAATTAAGCAGTAAAAATAAATGGGGCTACAACAAGGCAGCAAACAGCGCAGCCGTTTTCCCAGAGAATGGAAAAGCACAGCTGACTCTTGAATCTGTGAGAGCTCATGAGTCAGATCCACTGAGCTCACTGAAGACCGTGAGGAGAAGTAAAAATGCTGCCTCGCTGATGTTATTGACACCTCTGTCTAGATTAAGACTGCAAACTATTGAGTCTTGGCATTATCTATCAATCAATCTATCGATTATTGTTTACGACCACTTAGTAAACATTGTGAAAAAGCCCATTACAAGTTTCTGAAGCCCAAAGAGACGTCTTCAAATTAATTGTGTTGTTACAATAACTGAAATGATTGTGACATTTATTTAAAATAAATCTTCTGTCAGTTTCTGTCTAAGCGTTCATTCTGATCAGTGTTTCTTCATCGCTGGGCATCAGAACGGCAATTTCATCATTTAAAACGCTGCGACGTAACAATGTGATCACAGTGAAGCTGTGAGTCGGATTTGGCTCTAGTTAACACAGATTTCTCGTAATTTGATCAGCAGCTATAACAAGGGCAACTTGAACTACAGCTGCTTCAGATGTGACAGTGATATCATCTCAAACCATCAGACTTCAGGTTGTGTCTGTAAAAATATACAAGAACATAAATTAAGAATCCAGATTTTTTTTTAATCGATAATACAAAAATTACCATTTTCAATACAACCACACTGCAGTTTAGCCATAATTGTTTTGGGTTTTTTGTTTGTTTACTTTGCTTTGTTTTTCTGGAGACACAATCAGAAGCTTATTTGTGTCTTCTCCCCATTTTTCTTCTGACTTTCTATAACTGGGAACATTTTCTGAGCTGTGTTTGCAACAGACGGACCTTGTTGACTGTAAACTGGAGGAGACATTGTCTTCTTGCAGCAGGAACGTCAACAACCTTGGGGTGCATTGGAACAAACTGAGGGGATGAAAATCAGAAAACGGATCTGTTCCTTTTCAAAAACAGTGGACCATTTACACATTATGCGTGCGTTTGTGTTAACTGACCTTGATCTGTTGAAGCTCATCAGGGGATTTTAGTCTCAGACACACAGCCTGACTCAGGTAAGCATCCACGTCTTCTTGAGAAAAAGTTTGTACCTGAAAACATACAAACACACACACAGTGGACAATATATGGTTAGTCAACTCAATCACATCCCAGTTTGTCTTTTGTGTGGGTCCGTTTGTTTTGTCTGCTCTCTGTACAACAATTCAACAGAGAAAAGAAAAATGCTGAAAGCAGAAACAAGGCTGCCCAGCTGTGTGTACAAAACAAACAAACCCTGAAGCTATTTAAATTGAAGAGTGACGAGGGAATGTGAGTGCAACCGTGATCAGACAACAACAGCTACTGTTGTCTGTCAGCCCGACTACTCGTCTAACGGGCCGTCTACCAAGCTGCTCTTCTGTCCGTCTGTTGGTCCGTCATCCATTTAAATGATCTGTCTATTATCCCCAAAATCTAGATCCTTTGAGTCTAAACTGAACAGAGTGGTGCTCGGTAAAATTATATTGTAACGGTTGGTCTAACTTACAAAGGTGTAGGGTTAATATCCTCATTTAGCTTGTTTGTTAAAACTTCACCGATCGTATGTTTGACTACCCTTCTTGTTTTTCTGTTGTATAAAGCTTTTGGTGGCTCCAGAACGGGCTGCGTAAAGCCTCAAGTGATGTCACTTGAGTCAGCTTTGGTTGGGGCTGAAGAATACAAGTTTGGAAATGAAAAATTTAATTTGATTTGTTGTTGTTTTTTTACTGTCATGAGTCCGACAATTTTATGGGAGAACTTTAACTCACGTATTTTATACATTGTGACACAAAGATGTTTAAATTGAAGCATTGTTTTGAAAAATGCAAAGCAAGTGAAATCTCGTGTCAGACCTGTTTGTTACAGAGCTGATAAATTAATCTACAGAGTTAATTTTTGTTTAGCTTCTGCGAAATGACGCATGCACCTTTATCCAGGTGATGTGATCCTGTAATCTCTGTTGTGTTAAAGCTCAATAAGATGACGTCAATGCAGAATGTGCAAACCAAAATCACAAATCTCTGCTTTTTACTACTACTCCGGTTTACTTTGAAAAGTGATCACTCTGTTGGAAGAATTAAAAAACAAGGCATTAGAACAGGATTAAAAACAGCACACATGTTTATAGTTTAATATTTGTTTATAGTTTAATATTTACAACCAAAATAAGGACACAATTGTATCAAGGTGAATTAAGAAATGGCTCTTAAGATATTCAAAGCCTCTGGGTGGTTATCAGAGCAGCTGTTGATGTAAGAGCTAAACTGGGCACTCAGTGGGTGATAGTGGTTACCATTAAGCCAAGACAAAACAACACACAACAAACCGCCAACAAGTGATGTTTAACTTCAAATCACAAGTTGACAAAAGAGCAGAATAATTGTTGTCTATATGTTATAGTAGTAAATCCTAAATCAAAAGATGACTTATATGCCTCAATACAAACTGATGCTATTGTGCCCAACTGCTTCATTTACAGTAACAGCTTAACCTATTCATTGAATGCAAAAGCCAAACATGCCGCCAGACCAGTGAAAACCAAAACAGTCTCATCAATCACAGTGAAGTACCCATCACTAATGATGTTTTCATGTTTTCTGCACCTGGAACACCCAACGTGACTCAAGAGACGGTTGTAGTGGAATACAAACTAGTATAGCATCAAAGAAATTTACTTACGTGTAATTTTAATTAGAAGAACAAATTATTTATCACTCAAGTAAATACTATTTTCTATTTGTTTCTATTTTATAAATACATTTAAATGACTCATGAGATATGAGAGTCTCATAATCAAATCATTGGATTGCTTGTACAAGTCTTTGATTGGGGTTTTCAGTTTATCTTTCCCAGAGGGTTTTATGTAGTTAGACAAAGTGTTTCCACCTTTTCCTGATAAATTAATTTGATTTTTGCTCAATAAATACTCTCCTCAGCATTGGCTAACGACCTTTGTTGAATCACTTTTCATCATCCACTGAAACCTATCAAAGAAACAAGAAAGAGTTGACACTACCTGGAGGACTATGTACGTGACCAGGCAGAGAGCAGCCAGGAGAGAGTCTTCAATACCTCCAGACAAGTCGGAGAACTCCTGGCAATCAAAGATTGAAAGGAAGGACATCAAGCGAAGTGTAGAAACTTCTGGACCAGTGCCGAACCATAACAAGTCCAGACTGGGCTGATCACCTACACATTCAGACAGAGAAACATTACCGTGGGACTTTCTCTTTAAGCTTTCAAACATAACCAGAAGCAGCTTTTCATGTCATTCTGATGGCCAAACATAATTCCTAGGAAACATTGCAACATGTTCTTCGACCAAATGACCCCTTTGTTGTTGTGCTTATTAGAAGCTTTGTAAACTTAAAGCTATTACCAACGCATAAACTAACATCATCCATACTTAAAAGAAAACCTTATCTCCTCATTCTCCAAATTAACATCAGCTGGCATAACTAGATTCAAATCAGTTTTTGTCTATAAACAGCTGCCAATACATACAGAGAACAGCAAATGAGGAAACGAGCAGGTACAGTACATGGGAGGCTGATTGGGACAGGGTGGACCATGTCAGGTTCCTTCAGAGGGTTTCCAGGATAGACAAACCATTCCCTGACTGCTGGAAGGTCGACACTGCTGTCTGAAAACAAGCAAAGTCATGGTCAGACTTGGCACCATTGTATGGAGAAGACAAAAGCGCTTACTTGTCTTTATTTTTAAACTACTCCTCTTAACTACTACTCTCCTCTGTACATTTGTGGGTGTCTACCTTCAGATGTCTGTTGGTGAATTTATACTTAGATATTTGGTTTTCTGGCAATGTGCATGTTGTTGCCAGAGTGCGTGTGTGTGTCTGTGTGTTTATGACATCCAGTAAGTTAACTGTCCTACCGTCACGGCCGTGCAGCAGCAGCAGCCCATAGATGCGCTGTCTGCAGGGCTGGTAGACGAGGGCCTGAGGCAGCAACTCAGTGTTCTCCTCGTCCTCCAGAGTGTTGCTACATTCAATAACTCCCTGACACACAACACTGTAAACCATGAAACCCTCTGTGGCTACATGCTTCTCTCTGCAGGCCTGGGGAATAGCACAAAGTAAAACATAGCAAGTCAATGTGACATTTGGTACTCTCAAAACAGAAGAGACATCATGAGGGGCAGAACATACCTTTAATATTTCTGGACTAACATGTTTCTCAAAGGCTGAGGGAAGTGCAGAGCTGTCACCTCGCTGAAAAGCTTCCTGTCCAGGCAGCAAGTAAGAGCGAACCCCCCTCTTCAATAGCTCTCTGCGAGGAGCTGACAGGTTCAGAGACTGAGGAATGAGCTCAGTTTCTTTTTCCTCTCCTCCCCACAAGGAGCTCACAAGGTGGGATACAGCGAGCACCTTCTGCCCCTGAGGAGCACCAGAGTGTGGTGTGGGATTGTTTGTCCTGGGAAACAATAATAATAATAATAATCATCTACACTTTAACTCAGTTTACTCACACTAATCAAGATTAGTCTGCCTTGGAAAATAATTTCATGGAACATTTTTCTAAATATTATGAATGGGTGCATTCAGTACACATTATAATGTTCTTATAATGTAGTCAACGACAGAGGTATGATTTATCTAGAAAAGGACACGAGTGTAAATTCCTCATACATTTCAACAAATATTGAGAACAAACCCCAGATACCTGTATGTTGTCATGGCGTTGTTCCTGATGTGCTGCATCTGCTCCTCTGACACCACATCGTTACCTAAGAGACAGGCCAGCAGTGGTAGCTGGGTAACGGTCAATCCGATGGTTCGGCAGAGCCTCTGTCGGTCGTACATGACAGTGGTGAGGCTGTCTATCCGCAGCTCTGCCACAGACAAGTAGGGGGCACTTTAAAATATAAAACCACATGTCACTGTCTTATTAATTACATCAATTCATCTATTAACCAGCATTTTAACTGACCAGCAGGTAGTGTAGTGCAAGTCTTTCTGCAGGAACTTACGTTTTTGTTTTTTTTTCCAATCCAATGAAGTGCCAAAGTATAAAAATATTTTAACAAACCTGTCGTATATGATGAAGTCTGAGTCCTGACCCAGAATGCCCATACAGCCATGCTGACGAGCATAGCTGGCAATCTCATAGTCAGCCTCCTGCACTGAGCAAAACACTTCCTGACCCAATGACCTGTAAACAACAATAACATCTGCAATAAGAAAATAATATCAAACTACAGAGACAATAATTCCACCATAAACAGAAAAACAAGAACTACCACTGGATATCAGTTCAAACCCCATCCAATGATTTATAGTCTATAATATACATTATTGGCTTTATTATCACAGCGTATACATTATGTATAAGAGGGCTACTGTATTGTTTTGTAAATGCTGACCTGAGAGCAAAGCTTGTGAATGTTGCCAGACCAGAAGGCAGACAAAAGAGCTCTCTACCAGGCTGCTCTCCATATGCCTTCATGTGACGAAACATCTTAGACATCTCCCCGTTCACTCTGCGTCTCCTCTTCACCTGTGGACAGGAGAGGATGTTGTATAGAGAGGGTTGGTCAGTTGAGTAAACTCCAAGCTCTGCCAGTTCAGATTTCAATGTCAATGACGTTTAATATATCGTGTTGATGTCTTCTAAATTCTTTGACATTATAAACATCTAATGCTCAAAATAATCTGTCAATAAACTCTAAAACTAAAGAAAGTAGTGGATTGATTCATTTTCAGCAAAAATACCCAGGGTTGGTGAAATTTATTCCACATTGTTATAAAATATATACCAATGTGACATCACATAAAAATAACAAAAATCACAATAATAACCTCCTTCTGGATTATCTGGAATAAGTATAAAGGGACAATGTCAACAAAGAAATTTAAAAACTAAACTTGTAGCTATTGCCATGAAGTCAGGACTTATTGTTCATGTCAAGGGTAGAGTTAGAATGATGTTGTGATGTTTGGGTGTTGTGAAAGTATATTAAAAAGGGTCCGTGAGTTTCTTCTCTGAGCCGCTGACTGCGTGGGCGAGACAGCATTCTTCAATTTGAGCAAAACTGTGCGTCTGGCCAAGTGAGGCAAAGGCCACCATGCAGCGCTCATCAGATGTCAGATGAAGATTGTCTCCTTCAGTAATGTCAAACAGAGCTCCCAGAGGGTCCGGATCTAGATTCTGCTTTAAGATGTTGGATAGAGTAGATGTCTCTCCATCATGTTTGTATATGAGGGCACGGCCAGTACATCAGTACCTGCATTTGCCGGAGGTGCGGGTGATATCAGACAATTTGACTTTCAGCATATTCAAGTTCAATATATTTGAACGCAACAAGTTCACAGTCAGTTTCTTTCTTTCCTCACCCACACTCGTCTCTTCTGCTCTTCCACCACTCCATCGAAGAAGAAGACCAGTCTGATGCCTGCTGATGTGAAGGCCTCCACCCAGACCTTCAGCACATCCATGTACTCCCTCCACTGCCCCCCACACACCCAGTCCTTACAGGAGTACCAGTGACGCAAGCAGGCCATACCATCCACAACGACTGTGGGGCCTAAATGAGAGTGAAAACACAAATGTAACAGAGAGCAGGCCTGTATGCTAACATACTCTGAGAAAAGACACATCCCCAATAATCAAGTGTACTGTTTTTTAAATCTTTTAGTTTACAAAGCTTACAGCCGTTAGAGTATCAAAGCCAGTCATTCGGACTGCTAGGCTCGGCTGTCTCAGTCCCTGATTTCACTTTGTCTGTATTCCTGTTAGCACGACTCTTAACTTTTAAACTACTAGCATCACTGAATCCAAGTCTATGTATGTTATTGTGAACAGCAGTTATTGTAATTAGAAATACTGGACTAACACATGAATGCTTTCACTAATAGTGTGCTATAAATATTAAACTAGCCCAAACTGAAATGTTAACTCCTTTTGGGAAATTAGAATTCAGTTACAGTTTTTGGCTCATCACCCAGACAAGACAGATGCATGTGTCTTCTCACTGAATATCAAACAATGCACACTGGACAAGTAGTAGACATACTTGCATTGGTTTTCAGAAGCAGCACAATTAATCATACTGTATAAGCCTGAAATTGTTGTTGTATTTTATATACTAATATCCCCCCTGACTACTAACTCACTGCTGCTCCCCACACTGTCACACTACATGCACACTGAACTCAACTGGTAGTGTCAGCTGTGCTGCTGCAGCCTTGCTGGCTTTTGGCAACTTGTTGTCTGGCCATTTCTCTCAGATACACAGTCACACAGGCTTCTGGGCAGCAACTGTCCATAAAGTACTGAAGACCTTTTACACCCATTCCTGCAGAGAAGAAACAGAGACAGACTGAATTCATTGGTAACTTTAAACGTAACTTAGCAAAATGCTAAAAAGTATGCCAGTTTATTTGGACTGCCACGTTAATGTCACGTGTTCGCAACATCTGTTTAATTAATGTGACTGTTTCGGGTTAACGTCACTGCAAGACGATAAACACCACGTGACAGCTTGCATAGCGATTCAGTTCAGGGTTCAGTGAGAGTAGACCTGGATGCTACAGGTTAGCTTAGCTTCCTGCCGTTTCACGTATGTATTGCGAGGCTGCTGCGTTTCCTTTACCTTCAAGCCAACACGTCTACAGTTATGTGTGTTAATAATTTCACCTTCTCGTAGAGAAGACTTACTTTTTAAATCGTGGTGTAGCCTACATGTGCAGGATGTATCCGTGTTGTGTTTACTTCAAATGACTTCCTGTAATCTACGCGTGGCGTCATCACGTTGCAAAACAAAGCACACGTGCTTAGCGTACGGAGCCCACCGTTTGCAATGCATTAGTACCCACAGTAAATGATCTGTTTGATTAATCCAGATATAAAAGACTATGAAAACCAAACATAAAATCTATCCTTAGAGTACAATTCGGACAACTAACTGAGATCATAATTGTACTGGTGCTGTAATGAAAAAGTAAACATCTTAAGGTGGCATGAATGAGAATAGACCATTGTGGTTATTGTGGGCTCAGTCCACCAATAATAACTCCCCAGGCTAGGATCAGAGACAGGCTAATTGCTCCCCAGCCTCTCCTGGAGAATGGGGGCTCTTTTCTGGAGTCACAAGCTATTAGGTCTACCTTCTCAACACAAAGCACCCCCATCCCTTCCACTCTATTGTCTGAGTGGAACAGGAATAAAGAATGGGACATATGCTGGATGTCAGTCCAGCTGTCAGCATCTGTCGTTCCTCAGCCAGATGCTCTGTGGACTGGGAGGACAATCCACCCTTTCCAGTCAACTGATCTTCAAGGAGGGAGGAGCTGTGTTGTAAATCTGCCCCCCATGATTGCACTGGATGGTTATGGCCACTCGACTCATGAAGACCACATATAGGCATTTTAGTTTTAAATAGAACTTGGCCAATGGTTTGTGCCTCGGTACCCCCAAAACACCTGCGATAATAATGGTAACTTAATTTTAAGTCTATAGGTTAGGATGGCCTCAGCCTTGAGGACGTTTTAGGAAACAGGGTTCTAGACATGTGCAGATGTTGAACAAACAGCTGCTTTACCTATTCTGAACTTGGCCCACTTGTCTTGAAGTTGCATGTTCATGTTCAAAACTGTTGAGCTGTAGAGCTTCAGGTAGTTTCTCAGGTTTGGGTCCAAGTTGATAGTCTGGTAATCAGACTGAATTGCTATTTTATTTGCAATGTAAACAACAAGAGACAATGCAGTACAAATTCCATCAACATAACACAAAAAAGGTGTATAGTCAGACCAAACAAAACAGGGCAAAACAGAGAGAAAAGATGACAATAGCTTTATATCACAAACAAGCACAGTGTTACATATACAGTTGGAAGTTGTCCCGTAAAGTTGCTGAGTTTTTCTAGAGTGGAGTGATCTGAGAACATGCCAAATGGATAATTTTGCTAATTTTACATGATGTTCTTATCCACAATCAATGCTACTGATAATGCTTTAGTCTGATAGGAAGTGCAGAACATCACCCAGCTGTGATATGGTTGGACAAAGGGCGAGGATCTAGTGTACAGAGCAGAGAAGTAAACGTAAATTGCATGTGGACTGTGATAGAATATCATGTGGGTTTCCCGTTGGCTTCAGATAATGAGTTGTCTTATGAGCTCTGTGTGGAAACGTTTGTATTGTATTGACATCGTTTTGGAATTGCAACTCATGGTTAACATGTTGTTGCATATATTGTGGCAATGTATGTGGAATGACACTTTTATTTTCACCTTATTTAACTTCCTGAAAAGATCAGAAATGCGTGTTCGTAACTCAGAAGTCTGGAATCATGATAATGAGCTGTACATCAAAATGAAAAAAGTGCCTTTCTTCTAATTTGATCAAGTTGATATTGTATGTGTCCCATCAAGCTCACACACTGTTCATGCTTGGTTTGATTAGGACCAGGCTCAGAGTTATTGTTCCTGGGTAAAATCTGTTTTCATATCCTGCACATGGAAAACATACACACAATATACCTGGATGTGCACACATAGACATGCTTTATATTCATGTCCCTGTGTATATCCTCTCTATGTGATCACAGAGGACCAGAGGTGCAAAGAGGTTTATCCTGCATCCTATTTTCAGCAGACAGTGTTTGGGTTTGTTCTGGTCCTATTCACTTGGATCTTTTCAACTTCCTCCTCCTCCTACACTTACTCTTCCTTCTCCCCTTCCATCTCCTCCCCTTTGAGTTCCTCCCCCCTATTGCCTCCCCCACGCCTGACCAAGGCTTGACTCAGGAGAAACAGAGGCAGATGTTCCAGGAGCACACGACTGCCCTCAACCCCCCCCCACCCCCCTCCCATTTGTACTGGATCAGCAGTTAACCCCCGGAAAGAATTGACCATACAAGCACGCACACACATACATACAAAGAACACCTCTGCACAAATCTGCACTGGCTCAACAGTTGTCCAACTGAATGAACAACACACACACACACACACACACACATACATACACAAGTGCTGTCCAAATCCCCTCAGTGTCCCTGATAGTAGCCACCCTGGGGTCAGGCCTGGTGTCAGCGTCCAGGGCCGAGGGTCTCTCTGGGCAGCTGGCCTGGCTAATCCTGCTACTGGAGGCCACTGGTTCTCAAACTAAAGGCCAAGGACCCCCTGGGGGCCGCAGGGCAGGGATCTCAGGGAGCAGGCAGTGTGCGATTTGTTCAAAAGTTTTTTTGTTTGTTTGTTTGCTTGTTTTAAGTCAGTTAAACATTAAACATTAAATTTGATGGTGTAGCAAGACTTAAACTGTGACAACCATGTCAGGTGGGAAATAAAAAAGTGTTAAAGTCATCATCACAACTATGTTTCATATTAATGTTATATAACCAAGCATTGTTCAAAACTATAGAACGTTGTTCCATGGTGAATTACAGGGGAAACATGTCAAACTAGGCATCAAACATCTTGGAATTTACCATTTCATTTAATGGTATAGCCATGAAACAAAAAAATCTGAATTTCATTATTCCACTCAATGGCACAACTGCAACTAGTGCTTATTTTCAACAAACCCCCTGATTGTTTTCTCAATGAATTTGCTGATGTCTTTAAAATGCACTTTTTTTCTGACCAACAATCTGAAATGCTAAATAATTTAATTTGATAACACGAAAGACAAAGAAAAACAGCAAATCCTCACATTACAGACACTAGAACTAAGTAATGTTTGGCAATTTTGCTTGCCAAATGACTGAAATGATGAATCAATTATCAAAATATTTGTTTATTGCTTATCTGACTAATGGTCTCAGCTTTCCTCAATATTAACACACATTTAAAGAAACACTGGAATAGACAGATGTGAAACATACAGAAAATGTGACGTCAAAGTCGAAAAAAAGTATTATTATCTGATATTGAAGCTGTTGGATGTGACATTTAAGAGGGAAGTAAAAAAAATACTGACCTTCAAAAAGTGAAATAACACAATCTTAGTACAGATACATACATATTTTCTCACTAAAATGACTTCCTATCTTTCATATATGTCAGTATATCATATATGTACTGTAACACAGGTATACTACAAGTTTGTATCACACATTGAGGCTAACAGGTGGTATAAGATACTATTCCTGACTGGGATGGTAGGCGTCCTTAGGTCTTTGTGGCTCTGATAGTGAGGGGACACGTAAGTCTCCAGTTTCTGACATCACAGTGTGTTGCTGGTGGGGTCTTAGCGGCCTGGTCACACGACTCTTCCTTTATCATTATAATCAGCAGATGAATGATCCTCACCTATCTATCTATCTATCTATCTATCCATCCATCCATCATCTATCTATCTATCTATCCATCCATCCATCCA